CCCTTTAATTTTTTTAAGGTTTTTTGGTTTTTTTTTTTTTTTGAGAGACAGAGAGCAACTGAGCATGAGCAGGGGAGGAGGAGAGAGGGAGAGAGAGAATCCCAAACAGGCTCCACCCTGTCAGTGCAGAGCCTGATGCAGGGCTTGAACTCACAATCTGTGAGATCATGACCTGAGCTGAAATAAAGAGTTGGACGCTTAACCAACTCAGTTCCCCCCAAGTACCTCCCGACTCCCTTTAATATGCTGCCAGCCAATCCCTGATTTATAAAATAAACAAAGACCCCCCCCCAAGAATAAGGAAACTGGAATAACAGTTATCAGTGGCCATAACGGAGTTTAAAAATCAAATTACGCTTTTTCTCTCTTCAGATCATTCTTAACTTTATCAATAGAACTCTGAAAGGTTAATTTAGTGGAATGAGTAGAAATGTAACCGGACCTGAAATTCAGTTGCAAATGTTTTTCACCCCTGTAATAATCATTAACAAATCAATCCACAGCTGAGCAAGACTGTATCCCAAGAACAGGGTGACTGGATACACAGAATCAAATAATAGTTCTCGTTTACAATGGACTTGCTGCACAGCAGGACCCAGGCCAAGCCCTTTCCCTGCACTTCCTCATTTAACCAACTGCCTAATGCTAAGATGCTATCATTACGCCCATTTTTCAGAGAAGCTGAGGCTTAGAGTTGAGGGGACAGCAGCACGTGACAGGGACACAAAAACCAAGGCAGCCTGACTCTCGTGCAGGAAGGAGCTCTGGAGACCATCCAGGGGTCATCTGAAGAACCTTAAGCAATTGTCTACCTTTGTCTTTTCTTTTAAAGAACCAAGCTGTGAAATAATGTATTTGTTTATTTGGATGAGGGAGGAGGGGCAGAGAGAGAGACAATCCCAAGCAAGCTCCACGTTCAGTGCTGAGCCCAACATGGGGTTCGATCCCATAACCACAAGATCATGGCCTGAGCATAAGCCAAGGGTCAGACACCTATCCTACTGAGCCACCCAGGCACCCCGAAATAGTTTTTTGTTTGTTTGTTTGTTTGTTTACAAGTTTGAAGGGAAGGAATTCCTTGGGGAAAAAAATAAATACTGTTTCTGGAGACATGTAAAAAAAAAAAAAGGAAACATTTACCCTTTTCGAAATTCCACATCAAACAGCTATATTTTGATCTTTCTATCGCTTCTTCCATTATTCCCTCAAATTCCCAGTCAGGCTCAGCGGTTTACCCAATGTTTGAGATGCTAAAAAGCTTGGTTGGCAATGCCTGGGTCTTTGCTAATGCCAACAGCGCCCCCCAGCGGGCATTTTCTAGAAATCCCTACCTTGCTTTTTTTCCCCCCTCAGAACACAGCAGCTGGTAAAAATCCCCCATCATCCCAGCTTCCAAAGGCACGTGTGCATCCTTGGCAGCTGCCACAGAAAAAAAGGCCAACATTTCCCACCTCCACTCCTGGCCTGGCCGCTGGCTACTCAAAGTGTGGCTCACAGATCACTTTGCAAGGGCATCACCAGGGAACTGTGGAAATACCACGGATCAGGGTCTGCACATTAGCAAATTCCCTCAGGTGATTTATACCCACGTTAAAGGTTGACAACTCCCTATTTTTAAGTTGTTTACATCTGATAACATGGATGCATAGAAATCGCGTTACCAGTTATCAAGTTAATCTCCTTATACTGGAAATACCAAAATCCACCAAATGCTTTTTGTTGGCTATTTTCATTCTCAAGTGATTTTTAAGCAGCTCATGATATATAGTCTGGCCACACAGTTTCTTCTCCCACAATCACGACATACCCCTCTTCCCTACCTACCCCCTCATAAAAAGGTCTTGAAGTAGAAATGCCTGACTCAAAGGCTGGTAGTTTTGTTTTTTTAATTTTTTTTAATGTTTATTTATTTTTGAGAGACAGAGTGTGAGTGGGGGAGGAGCAAAGAGAGAGGGAGACACAGAATCTGAAGCAGGCTCCAGACTCTGAGCTGTCAGCACAGAGCCCGATGTGGGGCTCGAACTCAGGAACTGCGAGATCATGACCTGAGCCTAAGTCGGATGCTTACCGACTGAGCCGTTCAGGTGCCCCAAAGGCTGGTAGTTTTAAGGGCACCATTGTCACAGGGATTAGACAGAAAAGGTGATTTGAGGGGGGACTGCTGGACATCACTTGTTAGCCCAGGACACAATCTATCAGAGATTTCAAAACATGTGGGTGCAAAGAGGCATTTTGGGGAGACCCACAACCACGCAGTGGGGTTTGGGGAGCCCTGCAACCCAGACCCCGCAGCCCAGGACATGGGTGGGAGGTCCAGCTGCTGGGAACGGTTAGGATCACAGCCTCTGTACTCCACACCTCACTGCTCCTTGAAGGCTGTACCACTTTAAGGAAACTAACTGCTTCACCTGTCTGCCTCCATGACCTCATCTGAAAAATGAGTTTTGAGGATTAAATGGGATGCTGCACATTCAATACTTAACACCGTGCCTGGCGTGCGCACACACACATCTCTGTAAATGTCAAATTTAGCAACAGAAACACATTTCTCCTCTGTAGACCTTCTCTGTTTCCTCACTCATCCCACAGACTACTACTGCCCCTCCTTTCTGCCAAACCCCATGCCAGGCACGACCAGGGTTAAAACGCAGTTCTTTTAATTTGAAGAACAACAAGTCTTGGGAGACTTTAGGGTGAACACGGGCTGCCACAGGAATGTCGAGAGCACAGTCAGCTTAGGAACTTTGGAAACCCTACAAGTTAAAAGGCGTATGGCACCTCTGTTTGTGATTTAAAGTAAAACTGTCACAGGTAAAAATGTTCTGGGAAGCAGAGATTAAAAGACCATCTCCCCGGGTTTTCTAATCAGAAAATTGCAGACAAGTTAATTGAAGCCAGATGTTTTTCATTGTTCTTGGTGTTTAAACCTTAATGATTCCCTAAAAGGTGCTTCGAATCACTAGATCCGAGGAAACTCCGTGGCATTCAATCCAGATTTAGTGTATCGAGACTTTGGAAAGGGGCGCCTGGCTGGCTCAGTGGGTTAAGTGTCCGACTTCAGCTCAGGTCATAATCTCACGGTTCGTGGGTTCAGCCCTGCGTCACGCTCTGTGCTGACAGTTCAGAGCCCCGAGCCTGCTTCGGATTCTATGTCTCCCTCTCGCTCTGCCCTCCCCCGCTCTGCCCTCCCCTGCTCTGCCCCTCCCCTGTTCACGAGCGCGCTCGCTCTCTCTCAAAAATAAACCAACATTAAAAAAAAGACTAACTGCTTCACCTGTCTGCCTCCATGACCTCATCTGAAAAATGGGTTCTGAGGATTAAAAAATGGATTTTGAGGAAAAATGGGTTTTGAGGATTCCTTCCTTTGGAAGGAAGCTGCTTAACTGTCAGTATTTCAAGAGTCTAGAGCTGTATATTCTTTCATTTGCTCACTTACTCATTCACGGGAAACCACATTTGGAAAGAAAGATCAGAAAGTGATTTCCCTACCACCTCACACCTGTCAGAATGGCTAAAATGAACAACTCAGGAGACAATGGACGTAGGCAAGGATGCAGCGAAAGGGGAACACTTTTGCACAGTTGGTGGGAATGCAAACTGGTGCAACCACTCTGGAAAACAGTGTGGAGGTTCTTCAAAAAATTAAAAACAGAGGGGCACCTGGGTGGCTCAGTCGGTTAAGTGTCCGACTACGGATCAGGGCGTATCTTGCGGTTTGTGAGTTCGAGTCCCGCATCGGGCTCCGTGCTGACAGCTGGGAGACAGAAGCCTACTTTGGATTCTGTGTCTCCCCCTCTCTCTGTCCCTCCCGTGCTCATGGTCTATCTCCGTCTCTCAATAACAAATAAACGTTAAAAGAAAAAAATTTTTAATTAAAAATAGAGCTACCCTACGACCCAGCAATTGCACTACTAGATATTTATCCAAAGGATACAAAAATGCTGATTCGAAGGGGCACATGCACCCCAATGTTTATAGCAGTTCTATCAACAAGAGCCAAATCATGGAAAGTGCCCACACGTCCATCGACTGATGAATGGATAAAGAAGATGTGGGGGGTGTATGTGTGTGGACTATTACCCAAAGATCAAAAAGAATGCAATCTTGCCATTTGCAACAACATGGGTGGAACTAGAATGTATTATGCCAATCAAAATAAGTCAGAGAAAGACAAATATCATATGATTTCACTCATATGTGGAATTTAAGAAACAAAACATAGGGGAAGATGAACACAGGGGAAGGAAAGCAAAAGTGAGATAAAAACAGAGAGCGAGGCAAACCAGAAAAGACTCAAACTCAGAACAAACTGAGGGTTATTGGAGGGGTGTTGGGGGGGTGGTGAGCTAACTGGCTGATGGGCATTAGGAGGGCACTTGCTGTGATCACTAAATTCTACTCCTGAAACCATTACTACGCTGTATGTTAATTAGCTTCGATTTAAATTAAAAAAAAAAAAAAAAAAAAGCCCTCCTCTCCCTTTCTGAGATGCAGGGTAGAGCTCCCATCTATTTCCCAAATAAACCCACTAGAACCATCACAGCTTGTTGACTTCTTCCCGCACACACAGCACGGCTGGACCCTCAGCACGAGCCACTCCCAGCTACTCCAACCACAAGAGCCCTGCCCGGCCGGTCAGCCAGGGCACACGCTGTCCCCGCCTGTTCTGAGCTCCTATTCACTCTCCGAAACCCAATGTAAGGGTCTGCCTTTCTCAAGCCTTCCCCAAGCCCCAGGTGAAATTACATCTCATGACTCTTCTACTCGGTGCGTCTGCTCCACTAAACTAACTCCTTAAGGCCAAGGGGTACGTCCGCAGACTGTGCATCCCCAGTGCCCAGCGGGAAGCCCTGCACACAGTGGGACCAAGGGCAGCCATTTCACAGAGAAGCAATCGAGTGTCGTCCAGGTGAGCCGAGTAGCACTGGAAACAGCTAGGTGTCCCCTATCATCCAGACCGAGCTGAGTCCACCACTCTTTGCACGCAGCGCCCCCAGAACCTGGGACACAGGAAGCCGGGGAACTTGGGTTTTCTTTAAGGAGTGAATGGAGAGGGGAGCGTGAAAGGTGCAAGGAACGGGTAGCCGGGAGGGAACCACCCGTGGGGCCTCAGGGACCTCTTGTGGACCAGGGTAGCGGCCGGGGATTCTGCGGTCAAAACAACCGGGTACGGAATGGGAGGCTCCACCAGCACCTCACCAAGAGAGCAATTCCCGTTGACTCACACAAGCTCACACTCGCAGAGACAGCAGCTATAGTCCCTCTCCCAAACCAACCACCGCTTCTTCCTTACCAGGGAAAGACGGCCATCTTCCCAGTCACATGAGCAGTTGCACCAGGACCGCCAGCCCGTTTTTCCCTCCCAGACCCCACCCCGCCCCGCCCTGCTCCGCTCTGGCCGCCATGATTGAAAGGGGCAGATACTCAGCAGCTGAGCCTTGGGAGCGCCATGATTGTGAGGGGCGGACGGACCCGCTGAGCAGTTCGTCGGCGCCATAATCATGAGGGGCAACGCACATCTGCTAGCCTTTCGTCGGCGCCATGATCGTGCGTAGCAAACGCACTTCCGTTGTGCTGTGACGCCATGATTGTGAAGGGTAGATGCCCTCACTCAAAAACGGTTATGGGGACAGGAACCAGCATCGAACAGCCAACGCTGTGGGCACCGTGATCCTAAGGGGCAGGCAAACTTCCGCTGAGTGGTCCGCGACGCCATGATTGTGAAGGTCAGGCATACGTCTCCCCACCCCCATCCCGTCCACCACTTCCGGAGGGTACGTACACTTCTAGAGCGCCTCCCCAGATGCCATGATTGTGAAGGGCAGGTAAACTTCCGGGGCACTATCCTAGAGGCCGTAATTGTGCCACCATGATTGTGAGGACAAACGTCCTCCCTCAGTGCCCAGATAACGCTGTCAGCCAGCACTTAGTTGTGGGGGCGGGCGCCAGTGTCGAAAAACCGATGCTTATGCCGTTTGCCAGCACCGTTGTCGCAATGGGCAGACACACTGCCGCTGCACTGCGACGCCATGATTATGAGGGGCGAACATACTTTCGGAGCGCTGTCCGCGGCGCCATGATTACGAGGGGTGGGCGTGCTTTCGCTGAGGATCTCTATGGCGCCATGATTGTGATGGGCACGCGCCCTTCCTGGTGGGCTACTGTGGTGCCATGATAGTAAAGGGCGAACGCATTTTCCCCTGCGTCGTGCGCGATGCCATGATTGTGAGGGGCAAGGCGCCTGTGTCGTCCGCCAGTTGCCATGATTGTAAAGGGCAGACATAGGCCCCCCCCCCCCGGGAGGCGTGTCCGCAACACTAATGTACAGCGTGTTTGAGAAGGGGCAGCAGGCTGCCTAACCCACCTTCGCCTTCTGGGTGCTAACAAGAATCCGGAGACAGGCGGAGCGAAGACGCTAACCGTGGCTGGGTGTGGGGAAAGGGTCTGTGGGGTTCGTGCGGTTTTACAGCTAATTCGCTATTTGGCTGGGGTAAACCATGCCGACGCTTTCCCCTCCCCGCGTCTCTAAGGGTTGCCCTGGATCCGAATAGACCGCCTTCATCTGGAGCAAAATCACATGAGGAAGTTGGGGCTAGCTTCTCACCCAGCTTGACAAAGCTGTACGTTTCTGTAAAGGTGGACACCGGCTTCAACCCCAGAACTTATGTTGTCGTGTTTTCTTGGGTTACTATGTATACACACACACACACACACACACACACACACACACACACACACACACACA